ACTTTGTTTAGTTTAACTTTTCCATATATATTGACTTGACAAGTAAATGTGTGATTTGTTCGAAATGTATAGCGCTAATACATCACATTTTTCAGATAATCTCCGTCTTCTAATAATGCTATCGAAATTTATAACTTGCTTCTCCATTTCCTCTGATTTTTTGGTGTCAAGTCACATTGTGCTCTGACTTGTTCCGCAACAATTTTATCTATTCCAATTAACGCTACTTCTATACCAGGAATGACGCCTTCGTGTTGCAATCCATTACCAGCTATATTGAGGTCTAATCCCTTTCAAGTACTTTAATTTCATCAGAAATTAAAACTCTTGCTGAGAGGCCAATTACACACTTTGTTTTATCAATGGTTGACGGTTCATGGATGAGTTTTTTTCCTTTGACAATTTACTCTTCTTCTATTAGTTTGTAGAACTTTTTGATTTGAGTAATTTTGGATTTATCGAGTGCAGCTGAGCTTGACTTTTAGCAGTTTCAATAATCTAGTTGATCCTGATCTGCTAGTTTGACCTTTGTATTGACACAACGCCTATACCCGAGATATGGAAAGTGGTAACAAACGATAAAGGGAAGTTGGAGAGACAGGAAGAGAGAAAAAATATATAAGACGAATTGTGAAATCGTGCCACTAAATTGATATGATTATGAGCAGTAATTTATGTTTGAAACGTCATCCAGTTGTTAATAATTCATCACTGTGTGATTATTAAAATAAGCTTATATAATGTGTAGAAGAGAAATGCTGGCATCTGACGCAGTTATTCATGCATAGAACGAATATTTGAGTGACAAAAAGAACATGAGTGTTATTAGGCGACTTACGCATGCATGCCTGTAATGTCCAGTAGTAACTGCGTGCCAATAAATTGGCCGTGTTAACTTTGAGTTAACCCCTGAAGTTGCTGTTCAGTATGAAATAAAGACACTTTACTTCAGCTCGTGATTTGAATTAGCTTAGATAACAAACATATCCTGCTGGCATTCGGACGCTGCATAACACACTACACAAGCACAATGCATAACCTAAAATGGTTTATAAATAGATATCTACATGAAAGTCAACTAAGTCGTATGGAACAACCATGCAGCAACAAAAGGCGGCTGTCCTCGGCACAGTTGAACAAATCTGCCTGGCGATAACCAATAAATATTTGCATCAAGTGCAATACATTGCTGGTGTTACTTACGATGAAAATGCTGAAAAGATTATACGAATAAACCACTTATTTTAAATTAATACCCAATTTGGACATAAATCAAGAATAAGATTCGATGCCGCACACAACAAAGTTAAATGGGGTGAATGCCTTCAGGCTTTATTTTTTCCCAAGTATCTGTAATCCATCAAACACATACTTGGGTTTTTTGTTAATGCGAAGACAATATTTCTATATTTCTTAATGTGCTACATTGAACGACTAGCTATCAGATTGTACTCACTAACTAATGTCAGAGTGGACAGCAACCATGTAATTTCACTATAAATCAAATTTATGTAATGTAAATAATACTTATCCATGCCTGTACAACTGGTGTGTCCTACATAGATAGCAAATATATATATCTTACCAATGCTTAAAACGAAAACGGTATCTTCGTATAGATAGGTTACCCGCTATTGTCCTTGGAAAGTGTGCAGCTATTTTATGTCATCCTCTCATTGACACTTTCAAGTAATCATCTTCCGCAAAAGTTTTGCCTGCCCTTAGGAAGGATATTTAAATTGTTCCTGTGCATAAATCGTCAAGTAGACTGTGGGTTAAGTTTGGAGCTATCGCTAATACCTCACCATCATTGTGAATGGTGAAAACACTCCTTTTGCTCTACCCTTTCAGAGTTTCACGGTATCGACGTTCGCGAGTTGTACGGATTATACTAACGCAAGATCTTATACCAACAACTTCTATAGTGTTCGTTCTTCGAGTACCAAAGATAAAGCAAAAGACCAAATTTTGTCGCCCAAAATACGTAGTATATTTCGGGACAAAATCGCGGGTAGAGGTGAATGCTTAGCTAGCTAGTAATCGTGCACGCACGTGACACGATGGAGTACCAAATGGTGAGGATGCTTGACCGGAAGCCTTCAGCTAAACAAGTCAACTTAAACAGTGAGGGTCAGGATCCAATGTTGATTGATGATTGCTGTGGTCAATAATTTTGGGAAATTATTTACTCCTACACCCTAAACCCTCAATGTAGACTTTTAACTACCCAAAAGAATTTGTCTATAAATATTATTTGTGTGTAACGGGGTAATACGAGGGCCAGACAATGGATCGTTTATTGAGAAAATCAAGAGGTATTTGTAGAGTCTCATGTACATTATTATCAGCGTTATTGTTAGCAGAGAAGCAACGTCTTCTGAATGGTTTTTTTCTTGCTGAAGGTTATTTTGCCATCTCTTTGTGGCCGTTTCTTAGAAAGTCAGGACATATATCTGCGTATCGTATCTGCACACGTTAAGTCTATCGTGACTGGTTGGTGAGTTCCTCAAGGTTGGGCTTTGTTATTCTTTTTTCTCATGACCCCAAGTTAGGACGTAAACACTGACGTAAATTGTTGTCCACAATTTTGTGTTGCAGAAAGCTCTCACCTCACTTGTATCTTCCATCGTAAAATTGTCATCATTTTAGACAGGGGTGCTAAATATGTCCGGTGTGCCCTCCATGATTGTACATATGACTTCGACTATGTGCCTAGGGTTCTTTTCTAAACAAGCTTGTTGTCACAAAAGTAAGGAAGATTCTTATTTTTCTGACAGGAAGAAGTACACTGCATATGATATAATAAGTGCAAATTGACCGTTTAATTGTCCCCCCTGTTTAATGTAACGTTGAGAGAAATTTAGATGTAGTACAATATTACACGCTGAAAACTGCTCACTGTGTCAAAAGTGCCGTTTGGAATAAGGTCACTATGAATACCCACCACTGGAGCGACCGTTTTATGCGCTGGTTATCAAACACAGAAAGGCGTTTTATCAACTCATGCCTGAGCACTGTGTATATTTGCCCAGGTGGAGGGTGTTTTATCAGTTCCTGCACCTCCTTGTTAATCTGTTGAGGTGAATCAGAGCGCACATACCCATACCTTGTGGTTCCGCTCTTAATTTCTAGTCGGGCAAACTGTAATTATGGGTCATGTCGATAAAACTCAGTGATCCAATTTTGGTGGTTGCTAAAGAATTTACCTCAGCAGGAATAAAGTGTTCAGGACTCTCGCTGACCATGCACATGGTCCGGGGTTCGATCCCCTGCCGACGCACACCCGATATCTATGGTTGGTTGCAAAATTTTGGCTACCGATGTCCATGTTGAAAATTCCATACTTGTACTGAAAATACGGTGTGGCATCAAGCTGTAATCAAAATAAAACAATAAAATAAGATCAGCTTATTAGTTTTTCTCATTTTTTGATTTTTTTCTGATTATAGCTTGAAACTATACAGTATTTTTGGTTCAAGTATGGTGGCTTCAGCATGTGATATCGGTAGCCCAAATTTTGCAGGCCGACCATTGATAACAGGTGTGCGTCGGCAGGGGATCGAACCCCGGACCATGTGCATGGTTGGCGAGAGTCCTAACCGCTGTTCCACCGACGCACATGTTTGACGAATGAGACGCTGAAATGCGTATAAAAATTAAAGTACGTACAAAAGGAAATACTGGAACCAGAAAAAACTATAGCTGAGCGATTCATATGGGAAAAATGGCTCACGAATTTCGAAATTGACTATTTTATCCAACAATTACCCAAATTACCGACTGGCAGCTTGTACTGTTGCAGAAAGTAAATGAAGGTTTTGAACGTTTATTTTTGAAATAACGACTGTGGGCAGGTGAGGTGGGAAAGCTTAGTCAGACACACGGAAATTCATCGATCATTCAGTAGATACAGAAAGCCTTAAAAATGACAAACAAATGAAGTTCATACTTGGTTAGCCTTACATCCTTTCGAATTCTTTAAACACTATCTGGATCTGAGTGGCCGTGGCATATTGTGTTGTACAGACTTTATAGCGTCGACTCAGAGAGAACTGCTCATCGCAGTGCAGTAGAAAAGCCTAGGGTTGAACTCCTTTTCTTTCGAAGTTTGCCAACTATGGAATTCATTGCCTAGTGACATGTCAATTTCTTCACCAGTCAACAGCATCATTTGAAGACCAAACAATCACGTGGAGTATTACGTTTGCGTGCATCAGTTGGGTACAATATTAGTTCTTGGGGACTGCGTTAGTATTACGAATGTAAGACTTGTTTTTGTATAACTTTCTGTTTTGTCGTAATCTTTATTATTGCTTCCACCTTCGTTTAGTCTAGTTCTGTCCTTTAATTTTATTTCTGTCACGCATGCACGTCCTACATATCTTACAGATAATTATCTTGTCTCACCTTCCACCAATTTACTCTACTCATCCTCAAGATTTCCTTTAAAATCGCTAAATACTGCCTGCTAAAGAGTATCTGATGGCTTAGCCAGTGGACCACCTGATGAAATCCACAATTTTCATCAGCGGCGTTTCCCTGGTATAATTCATATACCCTTCCAAGTAGTCAAATAGGTCTCTTATTGCGTTCAACAAAGCTGCAGTAGCTGAGTGTCCAGAGAGTACTGAAATTTGCCAAGAACTTAAAGCCTTTTCGATAAAGTAAGAAGAGTGCGCTAAATTTTATACAAGGTAGTGGAAAAGATATTGGATATCGTAATTACAGTAGACCTAAGTTTGGAAGACTCAAGCTGTTCTGGCAAACTTCCAACAAGAATGCACTGATTAGCTAGAATATAACACCCGGTTGGACGCCCCAGGTTAGTCTAAAGATATATGTCGTATATGTGATCTCCGGTTTCTCCAAGTGCTGATTGCCCGACAGACATCTTTACTATTCAGTGATCTGTAATGCTTAAAGTCTTACGATAAACTCTCAGTCGTTACGTTTCTTTACCAAAAGAACTAATCCAATCAGTGAGTACACTTTAAATGTTTTAATGCACTACTGTTGACCTCAGGATTCATCCTTGCGAAGCGCTCTAAACTGGCTAAAGCGTGGTATGTTAAGTAATCTGGTGGTACGGGAAATGTTTTGTGCTAGGGCTTTAGGGTTACGACATAAATCATCTAATGAGTATGTCTTAGACTTTTATAAAAATTCACTTATTCTATTGCCACATTCGGTTACAGAAATGTGAAACACCTATTAAACAATTTCGACAAATTGCAGGTGTATTTGGGACTTTGGAAGAAATCGTTTATTCCCATAGAAATCACTATTTGAACCTACTCCAAAAATCGCTTAAAAATAATCACACGTTGAGGTTACGACTGATTATAATTTTCCATGCATTAATATTTGTTGTGATAACTAATTGGGTCCGTTTTCGTGATACTATTTTATACTTTGTCTGTTTCAATTTTGCATACAAGATAGGCGTTCACTTAGTCAGTGCAGTATTTTAAAGTATGTGTTTGAACCTGTATGTGTAATTTCAGTTTCAATGTGCGACTGTCGATAGTCGTGTAACTGAGTATTTATATAGTCACACTATCATGGGCTGTAGCACGTGTATCCATGATGTGATCCGCAGCATTTCGAAATTTTATACAGACTTGAATCGCATGTGAACTGCTCCTTATAGTCCATGTGCTTTTAAATAACCTAATAAGTCTTTTTACCGAAAGCATTTCAATACCTAAAGGTTCGAACAAACTTACTACAACGGCAGACGATATGAAACTTTTTATACCCAGTATACAAAGATCCATTAAGATAACCAAGTACTGCAAATAACAAGTGTTAGGTACATATTATTAACGTCGTTTTTCTGTATATTAACAAGTGATTTTTGTATTTCAGATTGTGACATCCTGGGCAAACAATCACTTTGGGAAAAATGATAAAAATGGAAGAAGGCGACGGCTGCCATGTCGATCAAGACCATCCACAATTTACTTTTGAAGAACAAATACAGTTTGTCGGGTCCTTTGCTCAGCCCTTGGCTTCCGAGAAATTGACAAAACGTTTATTTAAGCTTGCTCGAAAAGCTAAACGTGTAAAAAAGACGGAGGTTGGCATAAAGGCAATTCTTAAAGCAGTAGAAAAGAAAGGAGCATCAGGCATCGTTGTGTTAGCTGGCGATATTTCTCCATTTGATCTCATATCACATGTGCCGTTAGTATGTGAAGAACACGATATTCCTTATTGTTATGTTCCATCAAAGTTTGATCTCGGTGCATGTGTATCATCAGTTACTCCCATACCCATTGTTTTCATAACACGTGATGAGCAGTATGGTGACTTGTACGATAAATGCTACACAGCTGTTGATGCATTGCCCCTGCCTTTGTAAGATTTTTATAATAAAAGATGCTTTCTTTGACGTATTCATTTTTCTAAGTCTTTTCTAATGCGGAAATATGCGATTCTATTGAAACTGCCAACAAAATTTCCCAATTTCAGTACGAAAAAATTGGCTGTTATAATGCATAACGTTAACCTTTCCTTTGTAAATCGGTCATCCATTTTTATTGACATCGTTGAGTAACTATGTATCGAAGGCAAATCGTAGTTTTAGCGGTCACTTATCACTCATTTCACGATGAAGTCCAAAGTTATTGTAATTTTTCCCATAAGTGTAATGGCTTACTGGCCATTCCTAAACGGCGAGTAATGCTTTTGCTCAGATAAACCCTTGAACTTGGACTTAGCCCAAAAGCTCTTGGGAAATTAAAACGTTTTCGCAGTAATGTAGCCATGCGAATTTGAAGTTCTACTGATATCCAAATTAGTAGGTTATATCATTTGGTGTTTCGTCGTGGTGTAATTAAGGTGGACAGCAGCTCTCGGTTAAAATTCTGTCCATTGATGAACTGACTACATTACTTCCATATTAGTTTGTTTATTAAATATATCACACAATGAAACAGTATCATTTACTGGATGATGTTTCGAACACAATTTATTGTTCATAATCATATCAATTATGACCATATATGTCGGATTATTAAGGGAATCGTAGACCCAGAGTGTGCAAAGTTAGAATATTAATCACTGAATCATATTGCTAACTCGCAGTTATTTATTCCAAGCCATTTAGCACAAATTGTGTAGGTGCATTTTCAGTTGACCTGGTGTAATTCATTGAGGGAGTTCAGCAGCAATATGACACTTGTTTGGCTTAAAAGGCTAGGTTTACCAAGGATTATTAAATACAATGGAAGAAGATATGAAGTGATTTGCTGATGTTTTTGTAATGACTTATAGATCATTACGGTCTGTTTACGTTGAGAAATATACATATTTACGTTACGTTCTCCTTTTAAGTCTCACTTTCGATCTTTGAAGTCTAGTGCATATTTTATGTCTCGTAATATTGAACTATTTTATACTTCTTTGGTTTCAAGAAAACTTTAAGGACGATAAAGAATGATTTTTTTTACTGTTTTATTTAACCACTCATATATTTCAAATAATTCATACAAAAATTATTTGTTGCTGTATATAAATTAGGTAGTTTAATAGAACAAAATGAAAATCATTGCTGAGGGAATGTAATTAGAAAAATTAGTCATTGTATTATATGAAAAAATAGAATAAAACAACAACTGTTTTTTAAAAATTTCAAACAAATTATCACAAAATCTAGTATAAAAATAATCAGATTTAAAATCTTTTTCTATATTCATGACTGATTACTGTCAGCATTTGTAAGTAAAATAGGATTTTGAAAAAGAGACTATCTTCGTTCACTCTACCCCGTTGCTGCCATTGTTATTATTATTAATAGAGAGTAAAGGTAAGGAGAGCTTCTTCCTGATTAGGTTTTCTAAATGAAAGATGAATCCATGAACATTCTTGTAGCCTAAAATGAAAATTTTGTTTCAAAATAATAGAATAAGTAAGTAATGATCATTTGTTGAATTTAATGAAAAAGTTAGTTCAACAAAAACATTTCTGTAGACTTTCTTCATTAAGCACAATTAATTTTCTCAGTACGTTGATCACATTCATATCCTATCGGTGTAAATAACAGTTTCAGCTTAAATTAAAACAAGCATACTATAAATTCTTGCGATGATACGCCTTACATGAAAGTTACCTGAGATGCGTTTAAAAAGTGTTATGATATCAAATACTGCACTTATCCAGTTGAAGTGTGTAGGAGCGATTTAAATATCTTTCTTCCAAGACTGGTTACTATGAACGATGTTGCAAGTAAAGAATTGGTGCCAAAAGTCACGGCTTTTATTCTATCAAAATATGTTATTCAGCTAGTTTAGTAAAGTGACCTATTTTTGTGAAACAGTATTGCGCATGACACCTAGACTAAAGTCTAGAAGTTTTCCGATAGAGTCCAAAGCTCAAAGGGAATACAAAATATCCATAACTAGAGCTACGATTACTCTACCACATTCAGTGCAATCGAGTAGCGTTTAGGTATTTGCTTAAATATTACAAAAGAGGATACCAAAAGGAAATGGAGTACTCAGGACAACATTGACTAAAAGTGAATGCTAGGTGGGATTTATGATTATATCACTGGATTACTGCGACTTCAATTTTGAAGTTGTCCCATTAAAAAGGATACCAGGTAATATATATGAGTTCTGTAGGTCTGAGTGTGAAACATTTCTCAAGATACATTTGGATTCCTCGCGGTGGAGTTAAATCGCTTTTCTGTGGGTAAAATCACCTTGTTGTGACAGCGTTCTATAAATTTGATTTGAAAGTTAAATTCATAGTACTTAATGCCTCTCCATTATGGATTTTCATTGTTATCGGTCATAATTTATATCACTTCTTGGTTACTCATAGACTTCATTATGATGTTATTTTATCATTTGTTTGTTGGGAATGTGTTATACCAATCGTTTATATTCCTTTACTTTCCCAGTGGGACAAAGGGCTTCAAGCTAGAGGCTTGAAGTTTCGGTAGCAGTGGTGATTATTTTTACAGGATGGGGTTGATATTCTCATGCCTAACCTTCCCTCTTTACCGGTCTTATTAATGGCTTAGCAAGGTAAAGGAGTGCGTCGGCCGGGAATCGAACAACGGACTACCTGCGTGGTCGGCGAGCACTCTACCGCTGTGCCACCGACGCACCAATAGTACATACGACAGAATTATTCTTCGTTTCAAGAGTCTTATCGAAATGCATTATCTACAACGTTTATAAAATAAATCTTCCTTAGAGTACTAACTTGGAAAGATATTGATATCGATAATAGCGTATCTGGCTGGTTCTGTAGGTGAATCAGGTGTTGAGTTCTCAGCTTCACATATGAGGTCTACACCGAACAGATCTATTTCCAAGGTTTTACGAATTTCAGCTGCTAATAGATTGAAAAGCACATTATCATAGGTACATACGGATTGTTTGTCGAAAAGTGAACATGGCTAGAATAGAAAGCAAATTAAAAATAAAGGTGATTAACCAGCTAGCATAAATTTAATGGGTGTTGAAGAATGCAAAGAAACTAGCAGTACATATCGTACAATCAATAACCACTCACTGATTGATAAGCCTCAGGATGGTCGGGGGTGGGTGCCTTGCGCTGCGGGTTGGCCACCCCTCCGCACACCTCTTGAAATGCTCCCATATGACCGGGCGTCTTACATAGCCTCTCCTGAGGAAGTCCTACTCACTGCCTTCACGTGGCGGAGGTGTTTTTCACCAAAGTGAGAGGGCGAAAGCGGATGCCCGGCGCTCTTCACCGGGTTGACTGTCCATTGGATGACAGTCTAGGGGAGATGGCTAAACCCTGATTCCAAACCTCCAACGACTGGCGTATGAAGCTCACTGGAGCTCACCGGCAGACGTATGGACAAAGGGCTTGTTGGATGTCCTGGATGTCTGGCCCCATTCGGAAAGGCGTATGAACCGAACTCCGGTCACCGGCTGCCAATGGATAGTGGACTCCCTACTCCACTCCTACTGCCTTGTAGGTCACACTTGGTTGTGTAAAGGCTAGAGCTGCACTCTCAAACAAAAGGCCGAGTGGTTCTGGGGACATCACTCGTACCAAATTCCCATGAAACTTCGTAAACTCTCGTCATCAGATCGCTGCGCCTGGGTAGCGATGATTTGAGAAGTTCATGAAGCCGGCTCATCCTTCCGTAGGAGATAGCCGAAGCAAAGTAAAGTAAGTAAGTACAAAGTTCAAATGTGGTTATGTACCGCTTTCAAAAAGCTTAGGATCTCAAAGACAAGATGTCTCACACTTCGTTTTGTATTATTTGGGGAAATCCAGGATTTCAATATGTGAAGTGATTAACTTGGTCACCCACCTTTCTGCTAACTAAAATATCAGTCTCACTCCATTCAGGCTACCAATCGATAAAGTGTTAGCTATGACATAAACTGCTGCTGACCCTTTATTCAGCAGTAGAGTTCTTCTAAGTGGCTATTGAAAATTCTGCATCAGTGATATACTGAAACCATGTTAGATAACTTTTAAATATCATAAGATAGAATTAATTTATGAGATTCCATTTGTTAAGGCGAAACTCGGTTAAGTTTTTAGCAAACTTGTCTTGCATTCTCATAAGACCTTAGTAAGACGAGATACATCAATTTTGTAAGAGCACTGTAGTATACACTACACTTACCTGATACGTTTGTACCCAATGCAGAAAGTCACACTTTGATAAGACCTTCTCCTTTATGTTTTGCAGTTCATCCAAATTTTGCTTCATTCCTACATGTGGTTACGGCCATTTTCCTACACTGATTGTGGGCTGGTTTTGTATACGGTATTATTTCTGCTATTGCGTCACTTTTCTTGATAACATGGTAACCTCACTCCTTCTAACATTTGTTTGAGTATCGTTATTATCGGCCTTAGAAGGTTTTTAACCTCCTCGATCTTAATGGTTCACTGGTCTTGCAAAGTTTGCTAAATGATGAAGGTTATATAAGCCCGGATATTTTCTGATAATTGGTCACGAAAAGCAACTAGTGCAGACGATAGGAGGTGGGAGTGACTAATCCAGATTTTATCAAGTAATAGCTGATAACTCGCATGACTCTAGAAGCGTAATGAGTAACACTGGGGTTACCGGCAATTGGCGCTATGCTTCCGGTCCTCAGTAGAAAACTACTGTTCACTGGGACGCAGATGACAACTCTTAAATAGACCGAAACACTTACTTGGTTTTGCTGCTAATCAACAGCTTGCTTAGGTGCATTATAATGTTTTTCATTCATGAATAATCCTCATCCAGACTCTTCGCTAAGCTATGGTTTTTGTTTTCATACTGTTTTTAAACGTTTCAAAATGTATGCTTTGAAAGGGAATACTAATCATTTAGAAACCAAGTGTTGGGATGTTTACGCTGATGCTAAAAACCCATGCATGATATGGCCTGAGGCTATAGTTACTTTTAATGAGGATATGCTTCAACGCTTCGTCGTTCTTTCTATGCTTGGCCAGCTCTTTGAAGTCTACAGTAGTTTGTTGCACTCTATGCACTTGAATTTTAGACATTGCATCAGCCACACAGTTCTTCGCCCAATTCATATGTCACTACAGGATTAATCTTTTCAGAAACAAATTCTGTTGGCTTCCAGCAGCTGTGAACGAGCTGATGCAAAGCCACTCCCACAGCCTATTTGAATGAGTCTGTCACTGAGGCAAGAGGGTTACCTGCATTAAGATAATTTGGGGTTACGGCATTCACCAAAACACCTTTCAACAATGCGATCGCACTGGTTGCCCCTCTTGGCAACGTATTCATCTGGCATTCCATTTAATGCATTGACCAGGGGCTGAAAGCACTGAGAGCAATTACAAATAAAGCGTTGATAGAAGTTGATCAGCCCCAAAGAACTGCGGAATTGAGTGAGGCGAATAGGTAGTGGCTACTGTCTTGATAGTGTCCACGTCTTTGGACACTGATGCAATCCTAGTGCTGTCAGTGATTTGTACTAGGAACTCCACTGTCTCTGTCCACGAAACACACCTACTCTGATTGATCATCATGCCGTTGCTTTCTAGTTTGCCAAACGCCATCGAAATGTGATCTTCATCTTTGTTTATGTGCGGGCTAGCGATAAGTAGGTCATTTATGTATGCTCTGACGAACGGCAACTGGCTCAATAAGTCATCCTTCAATCTTTGGAACGTTTCGGTAGCATTTCGTAGACTGAATGGCATCCACACAAACTCGGATATTCCAAACAAAGTGGTTATGGCCGTTTTGGGTATTTCTCGCCTAGTCACCGGAATATTGTGATAAGTGCGAGTTAAGTTTATCCTAGTACATACTGCGGTATCTCGAAGACCATTAGTAAATTCTTAAATATAGGGTACTGGGTATCGGTAATCTTTGTAGAACTGAGAAGGGATAATAGTAAGCTTTGGAATATATTGATAATACACTTGTGATAGCAAACTAAAGTTTCTTAATAGGAGACTTATTATAAATGAAGAAATCAGCTACCTGTTGTTGGGACAAAAGTGGCGCATCAAACACTAATCATGTCTAAATAATGTAGTTCATTCTGAAGACTTTAATACAGAGGCAGTAGGAACTTTTATCTGTAGTATTTAACAATAGAATATTATAAAATCTAGTGCAGAGCAAATGTTGGTGTTTTCAATTCGCTTGCTACTGGGACGTTCACAACCAAATCTCAGAAATCATCACACGCCTGTCCCATCATAATTTACGCATATACTTGTTAGACAGTTGTATGAATGCACTTTCTTCCAGATTGTCACAAATTAAGGAAAGCATTCATTAGACAAGTGCAGTCTACAATTTCTTACGTTTACTATATCAAGAATACCAACATAAAGACAAAGTGCATTATTAGGTGTACAGAAAATAGATTATATGACAGTCATAATTGTATCTTTGGATGAAATATCTCCTGAACTTTGAAATGAAAAGCAGGATATAAGTTAAACTTCAGGTTTTGTAAGTGATGCATACCCCTAATCTTCCTGATGAAGCAGTCCTATCAGTAACTTACAAAACTGTATTGTATTTGTATTGAAATTCATTTTATTTATCGGTAGTGAATATTTACACACCTTCCCAATCAAAACGTATTTGTAGTTCACCTTCATTGTTGTTGTCTTACCTCTTGTGGCTATTAGAAGTCTGTCAGGTATTCTTAAATACTTGATGACTTCATTTTGTGTGAAATGTAAGCATTCTAATGGTAAATCCACAGCTGTTAAAACTTTTTAAGAGAACAAACCTCCTGCATTAAGAATTTACTACACCCATAAGAGATTTCGAGAAAAATGATTCTCGATGAAAGGAAACCTGTACTTTTGAAATTCACTTTTATAAACCCAGAAAAACAACAAAAGCAGGTAATCTGAAGCTGCTAATTTTATGAATACAAATATAAGAAACCATATTAGAGAAAAGGTATCCACAGAAGTATTTAAATAATGTGGCATTGGAAGGAAATGTACAAAAGTTTATGACAGTATGAATTATCGTTTTCGTTTAACTGTATCATAGTAACATCAACTGCACACACAAAAAGGGCAGATAACTAATAAATCCTAAGAGTTTATTTGAAAACGATGATTACTCTATGATCACATCCATTTATAAACAACTACTTCAAAAACGAATAAAGTCCCATCATTAGTTCACGCGTTTGAAACCAGCTTTAAATATTAAACCTTGGATTAGAGATGAACAGTATTGAACGTTAAACAGTATGTTTAACTGACTGCCTAACACAGAAGATTACACACCATTCCAAATTTATGTATGTGGATTTTATTCTACTATATTATTGAAGATGATTAGTCAATTAATCAATCAAGACGCAAATGTGGAATAATATCCTTCAACTGAGAGAAGGAAAATCACTGAAGCTTCTATAATTAAGAAGTTAGGTTCATTAATTTAATTTATTACTGTGCATGAATGCATAGTTATTACGTTATGTCGTGGTCTTAGAAAAGATTTTTTTTAAAACTAGATAGTAATTAATCACTTTTCAGGAACTACATCAGAAGCTATAGTCTTTACCGATTATAATAAAATTTGATATAAATCACTTTTCAAGTATTGGTTTTGTAGGGATTTTGTTTTGATTTGGTTGGAGGATTTCAAAATAAGCTGACATCAGTTAGAGAACCATTGGAAAACAAGCTGGGAGTACTGGACAGCTGTTTCGTCAGCCTAGTTTGGAACTCTTCAGTAGTACGCACCCACGCGTACTACTGATAGAGGATTACAAATTCAGAAAGTGATAGATAAAAAGATTTAATTAACTTAGGATATTAGGATTTCTAACTAAACAATCTGAATACATAGTTGGCTAATTGTTACACAACGTGCAGTGTGCTACTGACAAGATTTATAAGTAGTATAAAGATGGAGACATAAATATGTATATAAACTGCTAGGATATTGTTTAGCGGAGATATGGATTTAATGAACGATGATGCATGTGAAACAACATGGAGAACATGCAAAGAAACACAAAATCGATGATATGTGCAAATTTTGATTTCAGTATATGGTAAACGTATTTTGCTTATATCTGTGTATTGAGTTACCAGAAAACAATTCCGTTACCAAATACTCTTGTCTTTTGCCTTTATGACAGTATCTATAGACATTTAATGAATACATAGAGATGATAAATTTAATTCTACTTACGTCAGATAATGGTGATTTACAGCCTTCCTTTGAGACACTATGTGAATGAAAAAATATCGGAGATTTATCACCTGAAAAGAAACACACACACATTGAAGAGAACATTACCATGAATTCCAAAGACTATTCAAAGTTTAATACAGAAGATGTTCATTGATAAATTAAATAGAGTGACAATATTTAGAAGCTTGAATATATAGTAATAATATGATAACAATGATAAAAGAAACCTTTATACTATAAGTCGTTGAACGTCAGTCAGCTACAAGGAGTAACTGCTAGGCAAATTTTAAATAGCACCTTAACTATAAAGCTTTTCAGTTTCAAGTATTGGTTTGTAGGGATTTGATTGATTGGTTATGATGAAATCCTGTAACCAATCAGTCAAATCCCTACAAACCAATACTTGAATATCAATGAGATGCTCACTATCGACTGGCCCTATTCAGGAAGGTAGTTACCTCGGGTTTCAGTGGGAAGTCGTGACCAGTAGGGTACAGCAGGTCGGGTGTGAGGACAAATACTCACCAGTGATGACACTTCCTAGTGGTCACGTTATGTCGTGAATTGGCAGAAGTTGGAATTCATGAGCTGGCCAATGGATTGGGTTCCAGTGGCTACTGAATGGTCTACGAGTTAGCCTTGTAAACAGAAGGTCCTGGGTTCAAACAGTAGTGGTGGGTGCGCACTGCTGAAGAGTCCCACCCTAGACTGAAGACAAAGCTGTCCGGTACTCCCAGATTTTAACAGTGCCCTCAGAGAGCTGAATCAGCCCAAACCACTTGTCTGATAGTTAGATTACTTCCATCTGACTACCAAGGAGCACTGATTGATAATATGAATGGTTTCCAACTATACTACTCATGCTTATCAGTCAGTCGTATACAGCGTCATACATCCAAGCTTGCTTTATTGATTTCCATCTGTAGTAGTCAACAGATCACACATATTGTGATCTGATTAGCTTCACTTTCCAAAGGAAACTGGTGAAATTTTACTGCCTCGAACTGTGTAAATTGCAAATTGTTAATTTGAGTTATGTCTATAGGATAATACGATGGTGAATATAAATTGTGCAATTAGTCATAATAGTAGTAATGATAATAATAATTATAGTAATAATAGAAATGGTCTTATCAATAATAAGGATGAAAAAGTGAGGCAATCTGTGATAACACGAATAATGAAAAACAGCATGATTAAACGAACAATATTGTTTTCAATTAGATCTCATCACGCTTAACTCTAATATATATAGCTACTATTTGAACTAAAAAAAAATACGGAACTGCATATTAGATATGTTTATTTGATATAACTGACGATTAACTGGATTAAATTGCCTGTACGATCTACTCCTCGTAATCATTCAAAAGTAGACACACAACTTTCTAAGTTGCTTCATGTTTTGTGCTATTTCTGCCAATTTTTATGTAGTAGAAATTTTCATATATATCCATGATTGACGTTGTATTATTCCTATTGTATTTATTTAGTATTGATTTGTTGGACAAAGATTCAGTGATTAGTGGCTTTATATAAATGCACGAAAAAAATAATAGTTTAAATATGGAAATAAGAACAAATAGTTAAAAAGAAGAGATTCTTTTCGCTGAAGTATACGTTCTTATTTCTTAATCTCTCTAATTGTTTTATTCTACCCTCTGGAACATTTACTGTCTATAGTTCAGCAGTAGAATGTTCACCAATCCCGAACGCGGTCCGGAGTTTCGTCCCCGGAAGATGCACACATAAACTTCAGCTGACGGTAAACCCTGTAAAAAGGGAAGGTTGAGCGTGAGGCTAGCAACCCTATCCCGTAAAAGCAACACCACTACTACTGAATCTTCAAAGTTCAAGCTTGAAGCCCTGTTTTCCAAAGGGGTTGGAAAAAATCCCTTTGGAACTATACCTCTTTCCTACCCCCTATTGACATTCTACGCTACATTTACATTAAGATAGTTAAGCTTCTCTTCAGACAATTGTTTTTCGACATGTCATCTACATAGGGTAGCTGGGAAGCGGTAACGTCTCTGACTGCAGCATTGGGTGACGCGGGTTCTAATCTCCTCTGAAGGGACATGAGTTCCTTTAAGGTTGCAGATACGCCTTGCTGACTAGTGAGTGCCAACTAGCACGAAACTTAGGTCCAAGGCTTCCTGCCCATTACCTCCATCATCTAATATCAGCAAATTCACAGTGTACCGTGATGGCCAGCTACCTAGACTGGTAGCCACATTGCAAACCTAACTGATAGAATTCAGTTTGCACCATAAACAAAGTACTAGACACATCACACTAGTTACTAGGTAGTGTCCAATCAAAGTGAAGTATTATCTTAGAACTCTAACTTCTAACATGTGAATTGTTTATTTGAAATCTACTTCACCTATTGAGGTTTTAAGAAACAGGAAAGTTTTAGACATGGCTGGTTGATAATCAATTGTTAAGATATATGAAATAAATATTTCAAAGGTTTATTCTCCTAGACAAAACCATCAAAATAGGCATTAATTTTAACATAATACACGATCGATATCGGTATACACAAAAAAAAACACATTCTTTCAAAACACTTCCTATCATAGAATAAACAGTTTAATTTATTAAAGTTAATTAAAACTATTAGAATCAGTCTATTTAAGTAAAACTAAAATTTATAAAAACCAAAACGTTAGGGCTTGTGTAATAGTATAGATGACACTAAAAATACAAGTGAACATTTGTATAAAAGTACAGATCAAGAGTAAAAATTTAATATTATTAAGTAAATTTCTAAAGATGAAATAAATTTACCAGAATCAATGATAAAACTTGTATATATATTCAATAAAAATATATATTTAACCATTTACTAAGAATACTTACTGCTAAATCAACACATTCATGATACAATAGATAAAACATACATACGTATACACAAGCATTACACTCAATATTTAAACAACATTCAAAGTACAATGTTAGTATTGTTTAATAAACAATGATAATGTGTATCAACACACAATAAACACATTGGTGGGTTTTTTTAAACATTTGTTTTAATAAAAAACAATAAACAAAGGAAATAATCTTTAAACTAAGTACTTTTTACAGGCATTGTCTTTCTTTAAAACTGTTCTCTAGCAATTTTCTAAAATAGATAGGATTAATTATGAAGATATGAATATTACTCAGCTAATTAACAATATATTATTATATTATCTCCTTGGGTTCCGCGAGTGGAACATAACGCTTCAATACTACACCTCCACACCATTCTGTGATCTGCATTTGTCTTCATCTGGCTTCACAATTGCTCATAAGCCTTTATCTGCTCTTCACACGATCTCCTCCATGTCACCCTGGGACGCTCGACTTGTCGTTTCCCAGTCGGTCGGGTTGCATTCGAGCAATAGCTTGGCGCAAGATGTCACACCCAACAGTCTTCTCAGCAGAATGTGTTCGATTCATTTCCATTTTCTTCGAAATATTTGTTGAGCATTAAGTTATTGATTGGTTTGTCGCCATAGTTTCTGGCTACTAATTCTTTCTGTCCACCTGATGTTCAATATCGAACGAAGGCAGCTGCTGTGTTAAAAGTCTGAGGCTGCTTGTTGGAAATGCTTTTCGTGACGTGTACGCCAAGTTTCTGACCCATATAGAACTAACTGACTTAACATTGGTGTTAGAGATCCTGCATTTGTTCTTTGTGCTGAGTGCTTCAGACTTCCAAACTGACTTCAGAGTGATGAAGGTCTGACTAGCCTATCCGATTCTGATTTTGAAATCCTTATCCAGCCACAGCGTGTAGTTGAAATGATGCTGCCTGGTCAGATAAGTGAAGGCAGTGACCTCTTTCAAATTCATTCCGTGGATAGTGATTGGTGCTTGTTGTTGCTGATTGGTTGGCTGGTTATTTTCATCACCTCCGTGTTTACTTGAAATTCTGTCTTTGCTGCTTCTTTTTCTGCCAACTTGTTGGTTTTCGTCTGTAAGTCTTCGAATTTATGTAACAGACATATCGTTCACGAAGTCCAGATCTCCTAAAGTCAGTGAGAGTGTGGTGAGAGCTGTGTGCAAGCCAAAATTGTAAACAACAATTTACGTCTATGTTTGTCATTCTCTAGTCGACGAATGATCGGGACGCAAACGAAGGATAAGCTTGATAGTTTTGCCACATCTATGTGCATTTATCAATTCAACTGCACCTGCGGTGACAGTTATGTTGGGCGTACTACTAGACAGCTTAGCCAACGTGTTAGTGAACACCTTCCATCGTGGTTTGGCAAAGGACAGACAAAAACAATCCGTACCTCAATTTTGTCACATTTAATTGATAGTAGTCATGTAGTGGAGAAAACGACAGCCTTCAAAGTAATTCATCGTATCCCACCGAATCTTTCCAATAGACTTCGTATTCGTTTACTGCACACAGCTGAGGCGATAGGCATTCGGACTATTAAACCTAAATTATGCATTCAAAAGAAGTTCGTACAGCCATTATCCCTCCCTTGGCCTATTAAGACATAACCAACTAATGACTTCTACACTAACCCTTGTCTATATTTTCAACTCCTTTCTTATCATCCCTTAATCTTATCACATCTTCATTATAAACGTGTTTCATTTACTCCCCTTACAATCTAACGTTACCTAATCGGTTCATTTGTTTTTACTAGCCTTTATCGACTACTTCCACCTGAACAGTTGTTTGTTTAATCATGCTGTTTTTTATTATTCGTGTTATCACAGATTGCTTAACTTTTTCATCCTTAATATTGATAAGACCACTATTACTATTATTATTATCATTACTACTATTATGACTAACTGTACAATTTATATTCACCATCTTATTATCCTATAGACAAAACACCATAATTGGTTTATATTTGAATTTTTATTTGTAAACTTATGTATATTAGAGTAGGGCCTGATGAGATCTAATTGAAAACAATATTGTTCGCTAAAATGTGTTGTCCTAAGTCTATGTTCACGTTCTGAATCGGAGTCATGAGAAAAAACATGAACAAAGCCTAGCCTTGAGGAACTCAACAACCAATCACAACGGACTTAGCGTGTGCAAATA